TTTTCATATATGTATTGCCTGCTTACTTTTTTTTATATTTCTTGGTTTATGTTTTTTGTCCTTATTCCTGTTGAGATACCAAACACCAAACACTTGGCAGTTAGCATCTCAATGCCGGTTTGATACTATACTGAGAGCATTTTCCTGAAAAGTAGTAGATATAAGTTCTAATTCTCATTCTAACACTTACTAGTTGTAGAACTTGGGGTAAGTCACTTAACCTCCTTGGTAGGTCTCACTTTCTTTATCTATAAAATGAAGGTGCTTAACTGGATAGCTCTAAATTCACTACCAAAGTTACCATTCTGCAAGTCTTCGATATTAGGTTTCGGAAACATGCTCAGCTCCCTCCTGCCCGAGGAAAGTTTTAGAAGGATATTTTTCACATGGTAACCTGGCCAACTAATCAAAGGAAATAAAAATCATTTTGCTAACAAAATTAAGATTTCATTTGAATCACGTATAGAATTTCTTGGAGGCGGGAGAACTGATAAAAAAAATTGAGAGTAATTTATTTTACGTGTTTTCCCACTGGTTTCGATTAATGCTTGAATTACCATGTTCTTGAGCACAGCATTGCTCATGACTTGGCATAAGAAGACATACAAGAGGGTCTCAGGGCCCCAAAAACTATGGACTATTAAAATTCCCCAGCCAAGTAATGAGAGCTACCTATTTTAATTCAATATTGACTCTGCTATTATACAGGATGGTAATATTCTTTAACAGAGGAATGAAAAGTTTGAGATTTATCCTAGTCTCTTGGAGACTGTCTCTTGTCAGAAAACTACTATCTAGCTCCTGGTAATAAGAGTACAAGTTATATGTAACCATATAAGGAGAGGAAAATATTTCCTAATTCCTAAATCTCAATTGGATTCTCTGGCTAATAACTTCCTCACCTCAGGGAGTTATGTTAACGTCTTCCAGCTACCAGGGACTATTAGCAAATTCTAATTGAATTTCTGGGCACTTTCAGGTCTGTTGACTTCCAAGAGTGACCCTACTTCTCAAAATGCACCATGTATGATAGGTGTAATTGTAAGGAAGGCGCCAGAGCCTCTGGCTACAGGTGTGTGTGTGTTTATAATGTAACAGACATAGGTAGTAAGCACAAATGAGATAGATAATGAATGATAATCTTACTAGTTTGTGTTTCTGTCTTCTCCCTGCGTTTGTGAGAGGTAGTTTCCTCTTCAGCTGTTTAATTAATACACTGATTATCTTTTCATTGTCTCCTGTATTTGCTGACTTTAGTCGGGCCTTCTGAAAACATGAAAAAGCTGACCATTCACAATGTCTCTGAAAGAGAAGTAATTTGTATATATGTTAATGAAAGTTATTCAGAAAGTAAAAAATGGCTTTCCCAATCCTGTTTCTACCTCTAAGACATGTCTTGGATCACGTTCATTTCAGCAGACAAGTGAGGTATGATTTCACCTCCTACTTAATCTTTGGGATGAAGAGATGGTGGTGCCTGCATGTACATTTCCTTGTCTTAGGGAAGAAGGAACATTTCCCAGTCTCATAGACAAGAGAGAAGGGAGCCTCACTTCTTCACAAGTCTTTATTCCTAATGCTATACGGAGGGACATTTTGAGGTCTGGGCAATGGGTAGGACCTTTATGTTTTGAAAGGGAGAATTAGTTTGGTTTAGAAACACATTTGCTGAATTTTGAGGCTCTAAAAGTTACAGTGTGACTGGTGGCAGTTTGGGGTAAATTACGCCATAGTCTGATTAAGAATTTTTTTCATTTGTTTGCTGCTTCTCTCTATAATGCACACAGGAATATCTATCAATGACATGTCTTAACAGAATTTTATTTTATATAGCACCAAGCATAGTGTCTTGTTGCTAGTGAATTATATATA